TCCTACACCAGTTGGCCACACNCCTGACACCCTAGTCTCACACTCNCAAGGGGTGAAAACACCCCAGGTTGGGAAACACGGATCTATACTATTTAACTAATTGTTTCCCATTCTTTGTTCATCCCTTTGAATTAATTTCAATCTCATGGAGAGATCAATTTGTTTATTGGCTTACCAATGAAACCCTCGAAAATTAAGCCCTCATAAAAATTAAACAATTTAACTGTATTTTAATATTTTGATATTATAGAGCTCTAGTTGGTATGATGATGTACAACCCTGAAACCAATGAAATAGCCAAACCCTCAGAGCTATTAAACGGTGTACGAGCCTATATGAATGTATTACAGAGTATTGAAAACTATGGTAAGGAATTTCGACTATTCTTATTTGTATCCTCTCCCCTCCCTCCTCTACCAATTGTACACCCACTTCTTTTTTTCTAACAATTTTAGAAATACAGTTTTTTTTATGCATTTTGAACTAAAATATGTGTCAGAATGCATCAATTCTTTGGGAAAATTCCTCTCAGATGCTCCATGGCAGGCTTTAGCTGCTCATTTTGACAGTTGTATTCCCAATAAGTCTGTCTGTTCCTATTTCTACCCTTAGTCTAGGAAGGCTGGGGCCACCACTGCCACTTGTTTGTTTTGTGAACGCAAAATTTAATTGAATTATTCTATCTTACAGTACATGTAGATATGGCTCGAGTGTTTAACAACGTTCTTCCACAACAAACTCAACCCACAGACAGTACTGGTGAAAAAACTATTACAGCTAACTACACCAACTGGTAAGTTGACCCCCTGACCTCTAACCTCCTCCCTGACCTCCTCAGACTTCATCCTTGACCTCTAACCTCTAACCCACAGACAGTACTGGTGAAAAAACTATTACAGCTAACTATACCAACTGGTAAGTTGACCCCCTGACCTCTAATCTCCTCCCTGACCTCAGACCTCATCCTTGATCCCCTAACCTCATTCTTGACCTCTAACCTCTAACCCACAGACAGTACTGGTGAAAAAACTATTACAGCTAACTATACCAACTGGTAAGTTGAACCCCTGACCTCTAACCTCCTCCCTGACCTGCTCTAACCTCAGACCTCATCCTTGATCCCCTAACCTCATTCTTGACCTCTAACCTCTAACCCACAGACAATACTGGTGAAAAAACTATTACAGCTAACTACCAACCTCAGACCTCATCCTTGATCCCCTAACCTCAACCCTGACCTGTTACCCCATCCTTGACGTGTGATCTTTTACCTCTTACCTTCGAAGCTCCTGTAACCCTTTTGTTGTTTAGACTTTTGTTGTTTAGACGTATATTTCAAGGAGATTTGTTCTGCAGAAAACCACGCAAGATAAAGACCAAATGCTTCCATCCTAGCAAATTTTCCTTCATAACAAACTTCAAAGTGTAAACCTGTAATAAAGTTATCTATTTCTATTTTTTATAGGTATTTAGAAGTATTGTTAAGAAGAGTAACGTGTAATGCTGGTCATATTGTCTATTCACCCAGTCAGAAAGCTTTCGTTAGTATTGATCATAGCGAGGGACAGTTCTTCGCTGCTGAGGAATTCGCTGATTTGACAGGTATGTTACTCTTTAGTCAGAGAATGTTAACTCTACATTAGACATTCTCATGTATAAGTAAGATCACAATTGAGTTCAACTTTCTTGATTTTTCATTGAAGGAAATTTGAATTACTTCCCTTGCCTTTATAACATCATTATGGTGGGATTGAGTTTTACTATTAGAGATCTTCAGACACTGATCTATTTCACCCTGTGCCCCTACTGAGTTTTGCTATTAGAGATCTTCAGATAACTGATCTATTTCCCCTACTGAAGTTTGAAAGATTTTCAGACAACTGATCTATTTCAGACTAAAGTATTATTTATCTTATTTTCCAGAATTACGAGCTCTAAGTGAACTGATCGGTCCGTATGGAGTGAAGTATATGGGAGAGAGATTAGTATTAAATATTGCTAGTCAAGTTGATGAACTCAAGGTTAGTTACATATTTTACTCTCCCTACTGATGCATTGGTGTTTATTGTCTTTACC